CCTCTTATCGGAAGATGTAGCAGACATGCGACATCGTCCAGCGTGATCATCATCTCACCATGTGGTAGATGGAACGACGATGTCTAATGATGTCATGTCTTAACAAAAGCGTTAATCATACCATGATTAACGATAGTATATCCACAGAGGTTCAAATATTTCAACCCTAAAAGCAGCAAGAGCTCCTGAAACCAAGGCTCAGGGGGAGCTACCAGGCGAGTGATATTCCGCGCATGATTATTGATCTTTAGCGGATCACATTCCTACATATATGGTTTAACAAAATTGATTCAACCAAACAAAACTTAATAGTAAAATAAACACTAAAAAATTAATAGTTAAAGGCAATATTTACCTCTTCGTCCCATATATGTCTGGCAACATGGTCTGAGTATAGAGGTAGCAGCGATAAATCGAAAGGCCCTCCTCCAAAACCCTGAGGTTCCATAGGTGCAACCTCATATGTCTGGGCTTCAAGTGCCGCCTCAAGTACAGCCTCTGGCTGAGGCTGGGATGCAAGCTCTGGCTGGGACTGAGGTTGGGCTGCATCATACATCGACTGTGTGGCCTCAAGTGTTGATTGTGAGTGTGATTCCTCTCCTGCCTCAAATACCACAGGTGAAGCAGTGCGTCAATGGGAAGTTGGAGGTAGGGATGGATGAGCTGGAGAATCTCGCATGATGCGGGAGGACGATGAAGTAGGCGGAGAAACGTGAGCACTAGAGTCTGTAGCCGCATCCGCCACAACCTGTCCAGAGGCAGAAGGAGCATGGGATGCCTGACTCCTTTCCCTCTGAACCGAATTATGTTTTGCAATACTACAGTGTCTCAATCTTGATGGTCTTTCAGCCATAACTCTTGTAGAAGTATGAAACAAACGTTACCAAAAAAAGTCATGTTAAAAATGGAAAAAATACAAACAACCAAAAATCAGAGATGCATTTATGGTTTTATATATAAATGTTGAACAAAATTGGAAATGTATCTCTGGTACAACCTGTAACTTTTCTGCTTCGTCAATGGCGAACCTGAGCCACTATAACTTTAAAAAAATGATCATTGATCATACAAACAACTGTACTAAAACGTTTATTCCTACTTCTAAACATGCAAAAACTAAAAATAAATGCAATATCTAACCTAAAACATAATATCTAGGTTAAATTACATTAACTAAAAAATAACTTACAATTTATGATTTTTGTTGGTTGATGATGCTTGAACAATGATGTTTGTTTGTTGCTTGTTGATTTCTAATAAAAATTTTGCACAATGGGATTATTTTCACACAATGGGGGTTTGAGAGAGTTTTATGTTTGAGTTGAATAAAAAAATTTGAAATGAGGAAGGAGCAGAGACAGTGCGCATATTTGTGTTAGCATAAACCGGAAATGCACTTATAGGCAACTCTCGTAAGTGTATTTTCGGTCTCTTTCTGCATGACATCTGTGGATTCTTGATCTAAACTATTGTCTATAGTTGGAATGCTTCTCAAAATACAACTATGGGCCCCTCCCGTAAATATATTTTCGGTTAGTTCCCTGCTCTATTATAGAGTCTTGCTCATCAAAGATCTGGTTTAGGGTGCTTCCAGAAATACATTTCTGGTAATTGAGAAATTTGAGTATTTTCGCACAGTGCGATAGAAAAACTTATGGTGTGTTAAGAAATTTCTAAAATAAAAGAACGGATCTGCTCGAAATGGGTTTCGGATCCAATTATTACAATTTTCAATTACACGTGATTTGAAATGGTCGAATTAAGATTGAAAATTTTAATCCATTAAAATCCAATACCAACCAATTAGATAATATAATTTCTAATTTTTTACTCTATTCATTTTAAAAATGAGTATCATTTAAAGCTTTTATATACCGATTAAGTAATATATAATATTGTTAGTAAAATAGTAATTATTTCTCTATTAAAAAATAAAAATATCATTTTATTTTAAAATAAATTTTATTTGTTAAAATTACATTTATTTTAAAACGCATGGAAATGTGAACAGAGATTATTCTACTATTTTCCCAGAATACACTAATCACTACTATCATTTAACTTTGTTACAGACAACTCTCATATACAAGTCCCATTTTTATTTTTATTTTAAATTATAGTAATAATTATAATTATAATATTTTATTTACATTACTACTATATTATATTTATCTATTATTATCTCCGTTCATTTTTATAAAAGACAATTCAGTTTTTAAATTTATTGAATAATCAATGTATCTAGTGTATAAATAAATTAAATATACTAATTATTCAATAAATCTAAAAAGTGACTTGTCTCTTATAAAAAAAGAATGGATGCAGTATTAAATTTTACTCAATCAAAAACTTGTACAAAATATTAATCCTCTTTCTTCTTTCTCTCATCCTCGTTTATTTTTTTTCTTTCTCTCAGTTATACAAAAAATCAAAACTAGAGTTGAAAATGAGTCGAGTCGAGTCGAATTCACCTCAGCTTTGTCTCGACTCGTTAAGAATTGGTTCGGCTCAAATATCAATTCAAATTCATCACAAACTTTTTTTCCAACTCAAACTCGACTCGTTTGAAATTAATGAACTACTCATTCAACTCATTAGGTTCATCTTGTTAGGTTTAACTCACATGTTTCACGAACTTAAGAGTCATTTTTAATGTCTATTTTTTATATACATTTGACATTTTAAATTAACATTTTTTAAATAAAAAATATAGAAATAAAATAAAAGTTATAAGATTGAAATTTATATGATATTGATTTTATTTGTATAATTATTTTTAGATATATTTTTCTCACTTGAGAATATATTATAAATTAAAATTGTTACATTAAAAGAAAATATAGGACTAAGATTGAGAGCAAATCTTTAAACATACTCTTAAAAATAACATAATTCATCTCATATATAATTGAGTTGACTCATAAACCTAACAAGTCGAACTATGTATAATTCAATTTCAGCTTATTTAGTTAACGAACTTAGTTTTTAGCTCATATTCAACTCATTTGGTTCATGAACCTAGTTCAACGACAACTTAATTGTTGAATCGAATTTCAAACTATTTTCGAATTGGTTCGGTTCATTATCAACCCTACTCAAAACTAACACAAAATTTTCACAATTTATTATGTCCAATTAAGTACAATTAGGGTTGTTCAAAAGAACCGCCGAACCGTACCGAACCGCCAAACTGAACCGAACATGAGTTAAAATAACTGAACCATTACTAATGGTTATTGAACCGAACTTATATTTTACTAATGGTTCTAGAACTGAACTGTTAAACAAGTAACCAATCCTAAAATAATCCTGAACCGAACCGTTGTTACTTAAGTTTTAAAATTGGATTTTTTTTAAATAAAAAGTCGAATTTTTTGAAAATCAAAAAGTCGGTTTTTTTCGGAAAAAAAGTTATTTTTTTTAAAATGGTAATGTCGATTTTTTCAAAAATCACAAAGTCGGTCTTTTCGAAGAAAAAAAAGTTGCTTTTTTTTAAATGGTAAAGTCGATTTTTTCGAAAAAAAAACAATTTTAAAAAAAATCAAAAAGTCAATTTTTTCAAAAATCAAAAAGTCAGTTTTTTGAAAAGTCAAAAAGTCAATTTTTTCAAAAAAAAGAAAAGTAGATTTTTTTCGAAAATCAAAGAGTAGATTTTTTTCGAAAATAAAAAAAAAAGTCAATTTTTTTGAAAAATAAAAAAAAAATTCGACTTTTCCGAAAATTAAAAAAGTCAACTTTTTTTAAAAATCAAAATTTAACTTTTTTTTTAAATCAAAAAGTCATTTTTTTCGAAAAAAAAATAATTATTATTTCGAAAATCAAAAAGTTAATTTTTTCGAAAAAAAAAATCGATTTTTTTGAAAATTAAAGTCAATTTTTTCGAAAATCAAAAATTAGGTTTTTTCAAATATCAAAAAGTCGATTTTTTTTAAATCAAAAGGTCGGTTATTTCAAAACTAAAAAAGTCAATTTTTTCGAAAAAAAAATTGTTTCTTTTTTGAAAATAAAAATTTTGATTATTTCGAAAATTAAAAAAAAAAAACAATTTTTTTCGAATATCAAAAAGTCGTTTTTTCCAAAAATAAAAAAAAATTCAATTTTTGCAAAAATCAAAAAGGCAAAATTTTCAAAAATCAAAAATTCGATTTTTTTTTTTTAAAATAAAAGCTTGTTTTGAAAATAAAAAAGTCACTAATTTCGAAAATAAAAAAAAAATCAATTTTTTCGAAAAATAAAGAAGTAGATTTTTTTGAAAATCAAAAAGTCAGTGTTTTTGAAAAATAAAAAAAAAAGTTGCTTTTATTGAAAATTAAAAAGTCAATTTTTTCAAAAATCAAAAAAGTCAATTTTTTCAAAAATCAAAAGGTCGATTTTATAAGAAAGTCAATTGTTTTTCAAAAATAAAAAACTCGATTTTTTCTAAAATCAAAAAGTCAATTTTTTTGAAAATTTAAAATTTGGTTTTTTCTGAAAATACAAAAAATTTGACTTTTTCCAAAGTCTAAAAAATAAATTTAAATAGTTTTTTATTAAAAAAATCAAAATCAAATATAACAGTTTAATTTTTTTAACAAATGGTTCAGTTTATAATAAATTGGCTTCTAATAATTTAGTACGGTTCAGAATTCCAAACCATCATACCAAACTAAAACTTTTGATTCAGTTCAATTTTTAAAAAATTAAAACGATTCGATTCGGTTCTGATGAATATATATAATGATTCAGTTTGATTTAATTCAATTTTTTAACAGAAATGTACCATAAACAAGCCTAAGTACAATAACCACTTTACTTCCGGTCACCAAATTAAAACTCATTACTATTGCATCTAAGTTCATATTTTCTGCATTCTATAGCTTTGCTTCAACAAAGAAAAAAAATGCAATAATCACTCTTCATTTGTTAGATTATTACATTTTTTTAAGATGGAAAATAGAGAAGAAAAATACATCACACATACACTGATTTTGCTGAAAGTTTGTGTGTTTCATCTCCTTCTCTTAGACTTGCAAAACCGCAAATCCGACAATTCGTTTAAACCGAAACCGCCTTAACCAAAGTGTCAGATGGACGAAATTGGATGAAATATTTTCATCCGTTGGTTTGATCGGATTGAGGTTTTTTGATCCGAACCCAACCGAAACCGACTGATGTCCACCCCTACCATTTACAGATAAATGTGTCTATGACAAAGAATAATATAGATAAGATGGGTGAAGCAATAATTATGAGACAAGCTAAGATGGTCAACCACCAACTGCGACTACTTAAACAGATTTTACCTACCAACCATGACTCATAAGGAAACCATTTATGACACCTTTCAGATTGCTTCTAAACATCACACGAGGTTTTCCAAATTAAGATCCCTTCCATCCCTCATGGATCTGGTGTGTACCACTGCTGCAGTTTCATTTACTCGGCCAAAAAAGGCACACCAAATCAGATGCCAAAATTCATTTATGTGACAGTTTTATGAATTGAAGGCAATCTGCAAAACAGTTATTATTGACAACAAATTTGTAACATCCAGAGAACCACATCAATTGCTGATTTTGTAATCCTTCGGCACTTGTTCTATACATAATGATTTCATAGAAAATGTGTGGGGGGAAATTTAAAAATGAAACACATAAATAGACAAAATTACTACTCCTAATTAACTGATCCTGGGAAAAGATACAAGGAAATATAAATGAATAATGAATAGATGAACAGTTTCTCCCCCAAGGCTTTGCTCAAAATGCAGTTGATTCTGAAGTTTGGTCAAGACTTCGGAGCAATAAGACAAACTAGACCAAAATCATACCAGTTTACCGTTGATTTAGGAAAGTGACTATATTTAGCATATCCTCAATTGACAAATTTTGACTATCTTGCCCTTGAACTCAAAAGCTTCTGAGCTATTCTATCTTTTGATGTTACTTTCTTTTTCAGCATGGATGCAAGACTTGCTTTCTTGTCTCTCTTTGTTACCTCATCATCTTCTCCAAAGACAGCTGAACTTGAAGCCAATGCAGCGTCTCGTAAAACTGCGTCATTGTGTTCCCGAATTTTAGCAAGTTTAGCACGTTTCAATGCCTGTTTATCAATTTCTCTCTTCTTGGACGCCTCTTTGTCTGTTTCACGAACATTCTTTACTGCTTGTTTTGCTAACTGCTCTGCTAAATCAGTCTTTATATTAACATCCACGTCTTCTGATGGACTTGGTTTAAGTGGCTTCCCTTCATCATCTCGAGGAATGATAGGTCCATGAAATGGACAGCTTTTCATATCTCTTCTTTGACAGAGTCCCCCTTTCCTCAGTGGAGCACGGCATGGTTCAATCTCAATTAGAATTTCTTCATAAGGCATTGCCGGAACACTCAATTCAGCTATTTTATCTGATGGAATAACCGCATCATCATCTACCCTACCCCAGTGACTTTCAATATCCAAGCCCCGCTGGTTGGCCATAAAAACCTTGTTTGAACCCCAAGTATCCAAGTGAGAACCCCATCTTACCACTGGAGCTTTGGTCAAAAGTTTACTCCTCGCAGGGTTTGACTCCGATTCATTTCCTCCAAGAAGTAGTCTGTTTGTGTTAGAGCTTTTAGACTCTTCAGCGTACGAGCCAAGATTATCACTAATCATATTATGCGAAGTTGATGCCAAGGCAAGATGTTTCTTTTTCTTATCGAGCGTACTGGATGAACTAGGGTGTTTCTTTTTCTTATCGGGCGTATTAGATGAGTCAGAATGTTTATTTTTATTATCGGGCATACTAGATGAAGTTTCGATGGATACAGCATTCCCCTCTTCCCAAAAATCTTCTTCCCCATCAAGTTTTGATGTGTTTAGAAGAGAGCAGCCTGCCTCCTCACATCTCTTTTTAACCGATTTAAGACGGTTTTGGATATCAATGAACTCCTTCAAAGTAGAATCTCTAAATCTATTGTCAACTACTTCAACTCTTACCAGAACAGAAACCCATTCTTGGATGGAAACCAAGTGCTTTGTCACCAGAAGTTTGTACATCTCCCTCAACGCATCAAAAACTACCTTGTTATCGCTGCTCTCATAAACTTTTTCCTCTTCATCCAATGCTTCGCGACGAAGCTGTTGCAGCTCCAAAGAACGAAAGTCATTAACCTCTTCATCGTCTAAGATATCACTTGACTCAATCTCCTGTTTAGAATGCAAAATGTCTAAACACCCATCAATCTCATCCATCGTAGACAACATCTCCCTCTTTATAGAAGAGAATACACCTTTCAAAGATTCATACTTGTTCAACAAAATCTCTTTCGACTTCCTCTCCCTCTCCCTTCTCTCTTGCCGAATCCTCTCTGCATTAGCTTGTATATTAGGAAACTGAAGCCTGAGCGTATTCTTCAAGTAATCATAACCCAATCTAAGTTGTCTGTAATGAACCCCAAACGACACATTCCACTTCTCCAAAGATTCAATCGCCTTCAAACGCAAAAGCGATGCAACCGACGGAGGAGCAGGAAGCGGCAAACTTCTCCGAAACCCAACACTCAAGGACATTAACTGATCCAAATCCTCAACAACAAGTGTCCTAAAAAGCTTCGATCGCATAAAAAGTTCATCAATTATTTGAAATGCAAGGTACCTAACCTGCACAACAGATATCAATCTGAGAATTCATTCCAAAATCAAATATTACATAATTTTATCAAGCTGATACAATCAATCAGAGTAATATCATATCATTTCTCATTCAAAATGAAATTGATTGATAAAAATCCAATTAACCCTAATTGGGAAAGGGAAAGACGTACCTGGGAGTGGTCGCGCTTCATGAGATCCATTAGGGTTTGAGAAGCTAAACGGAGCTCCGAATCGGAATATCGGACCACGATTTTAATGGCTTTGAGGAGGCGGTGATCAACATCGGGTGCGGTGGAGTTTGTTGCCCTTTCAATCAAAGCCCTAACCTTCGACTCTTTTCTATGGCTTTCTTGTCTTTCTTCTGCTTCCATTATTCAATTAGAATTTAGAATTGAAAAACCCTAAATTTATAACATCCCCATTTCGTGCTCGATTGCTCCTTTCTTGCGCGATACATCAGCTTCTTCTGTTTCACCGTGCACGACATAACCGACTGTCGTTTTTGCTTCTCGAAATGTATTTTTTTAAATGCACTCGCAATCAAATATTACAATGTCACTGAATATTAACTATTAAATTTTAAATTAAACTTGACTTTTATTTTAATTTATAAAATAATATAGGTGATTGCAATGCACTGATGATATAATTTTTTTTTTAAATAATTAATCTCTTTTTTATATTCTTAAACATGCAAAAATATATATATATATATATATATATATATAATACTCCTAAATATGTTCGATTTAGAAGTAAAAAACTTTACTTTAACTTACTGAGAAGTATAAATTTTCAGAGTTAAAACTTAAATATGTTTTTTTGTAAGTTGTATTTATAAAACTTAAATATCTAAATGATTTATTCACATTAAAATATGTATTCGTATAAAAAAAATTAGTCCTTTTAAATTAAATATTAGGTTAATAGTTAGTTTTATCTTTCATAGTTAGTTTTATCTTTCTCTTAGTTTTATATGTTGTCATAGTTTTATTAGGTTTACCGGTCTAACATCCTAACATTTTTTTTTTAATGAAAATAAATTTTATTTGATTTTTCTTGATACCTTAATGTCTCAATAAGACTATATTATATAATATTTCTAATGGGTAATATACTAAAAGGCCCAAATGCTAATAAGAGTCCATTAAATAACCATACATAAAAATATAATATAAATTCTAAACTAACTTAAATAATATAATTCTATCCTCTATCATGTCACCGGTAGTTTTTGAGTTTGTCAGAGTTATTTCGGTTGTCGTTGATGTCATTTCAACAAAGACATGAAACCATAGCAACGTCGTAACCTCGTGGGTAACGATTTCGATTCATATTTGTTTATATGTGTGTGTGTGTGTGTGTGTGTGTGTGTGTGTGTGTGTGGGGGTGTGTGTGGGTGTGTGTGGGTGTGTGTGTGTGTGTGTGTGTGTGTGGGTGTGTGTGTGTGTGTGTGTGTGGGTGGGTGGGTGGGTGTGTGTGTGTGTGTGTGTGGGGGGGGGGGGGGGGGGGGGGGTGGGTGGGTGTGTATGTGTGTGTGTGTGTGTGGGTGTGGGTGTGTGTGTGTGTGCGCGCGCGGGTGTGTGTGCGTGTGTGTAGATTGTGCAAGACTTTTGATGATGCAGTAATATTGTATTTGTGGTTTAGGCTGTTGCTTTTATTTTCGTTGCGTAAAATAGGTTTGAATGTTGAAATCGTGTTGCAATGATGTTTGTTTACGCTTACGTTTTAACGATTCACTTGCTCTTTATTTTGGTTTACTTTACAAATGCATATGTTATACCTATTTGTGTTTCAATTCAATTGTTGGGATCGCACTTTTTGCACTAGCAACTTGCTGTGATTTTGTTAGTGTGTGACATTTCATTCTATTGTCATCACGATAACTCAGATGTGTATATAATTGGTAGCTTGGCATGGCGACAACCAACTTTTGCTTTCATTACTTCTCTTTTCATCATGTAACGCTCGTTTTCGTTACAATGCGATATATTGTGCCATGTGTTGTCTGTATATCAATCTAATTGTAATGATCACAGTTTGTGATAGCAACTTGTTGTTGATTTGTGTTAGTGTGTGATATTATGACTTCATTACAGTTGAATCGGGTGTAAATTTAGTGTTGAGGCTTTTTTGCACATCCTCGTGTTACGTGAACTTCATTCACGTCCTCACGTTATGTCAACTAAACACAAGCACATTCGGTATTGTTTGTTTTTCGATTCGGTTACAATGAATGTGTATTGATTGTGATTATCGTATGCCCATTAATTCTTCTATCTTTCGTTGCTTTCATGTGGGACATTGCGTTATATTTCGTGATTTCACGCCTTGCCTCACTTTTCAATATGTTTGACATTTTAGCAAACCATTTCACAATAAAATCAAAACATTTTCAAATCATTTTCGATTCGAAATCAAATCAAACACTTGATTAACATCAAGTCAATTTTCTTAATCAAAGCACTTCAATTCATTTTCTCAAATAAATTGGATGAAAAGGGGAGTGATTGGGCGTAGGCCTCTTCCTTCTCTGAGTACTTAGATATTTCCATAGAGCTTACTGTTTGAGTACTTGAGTTTCAAATTAAAACACAATAATTAAAACGAGTTTAGTTCATTAGGAGAAGCTTAGAGTCTTAGATTTTGAGAGTCTCTTGTGTGGGTGTAAGTCACCCACGTATCTTTGGATACTATGTGGTAGACTGATTGTTACTTGACAGTTTATCAAGTTAGTGTTCTAACTCTAAATCTTTTAAGAAAAGAGTTGAGTTTTTGTATTGAAAGTGAAATCTTCTTGTTGAGTTGTTTTTGATAGAGTCACTGAGATTGGGACTGTTAGATATCACTTAGGTGATTAGGAAGTGAGATGGGATTTCTCATATCTAGATGGTGATTTCTAGGTAGAAGTTGCACTGGATAGTGATTAAGTGAGAAGTTGTAAACTGGGACTGTTTAGGCTTTGAATTGATACTGCTAATAGTAAATTTCCTTTCTGGCTTGGTAGCCCCCAGAGTAGGTGATGTTGCACCGAACTGGGTTAACAACTCTACATGTTATTTATCATCTTCAATTTTATTTCAGTATCACTTGCATCTTGATAAATCTGTTCAGTCTGTCAATAGATGTTGTAACATCTGAAGTGACATTATTCTGATGTTGGGTCATCAATATGAACATGTGTTGTATGTGTCTGAAAATTTTCAATTGGTATCAGAGAAGGCACCCTGGTCTATTGGGTGAGCTCCAAGGAGTATTTTTGGTACTACATTATTTTTGATGAAAGGCTAGAATGATAGCATTTTGGTTATCTATGGACAACATATCTTGAAAAATTGCCAGGATAGAAGAATGTCGGTGCCGAGGAGTTAGAAGGGAAGAGTATGATTTGGTTCTTTGTCACTCTGAAATTATCAATATCATAATCAAAGGAATTGATAAGTACTCAGTATCACTTATTATCTCCAAAGATACTTGGGAATTTCTCAAGTCTACTCATAAAGGCGCATCTGAGTGTATTTAGGAGAAAAGAGTTCATAAGAGAAGATGATCAAGAAGAAGATATTGTGGTATCTACTCAAGAGGTTTGACATGAAAGTGACAAGCCATTAAAGAACAACAAGAGCATTCTTTTTTCTTCCAACTTGTAGAAGTTTGTTCCCCGGTCTCTAATGAAGGGTTTTCTTATTATTGTGGTTCTTGGAAGGCAATCCAAACAGGCGTTGAGGAGAATGGGCAGTATGTCCCGACCAAGTTTCATAACATCTGTCTTGACTTCAACAAGTCTATGATGTTCAAGAAAAGGATGGAACTAGAATAAAGATCAATCAATGTCAAAGCATTCATATGATTGTGAAGACCTTAGATCTTTGTGGAGCAGAATGTCCTACTTATCTCAAGAACAATTGTATGGGTTTTCTATTTCTTGGTTTAATTAGGAAATTAATCCCGATTATGAATAAGCCAAGGATATTACTAGTTTGACTAGAAGATGGACTTCTAAGGAAGATTTTTGTATTGAAGAATTATCTAATGATGAGTTGGATGGGTTGTCAACCATGAAGAAAATATGAGGTTGTTATCTCTTATCTTATGTCTTGAGAGAAGGAAGGTTTGTCTACCATCTATTATTTATAGGGTAAGGTGACTCTATCATCCTTCAAACTTGACATTATGATCAAGTCTATAAGGTTCGTTCAGTTCTGTTGGAGGAGGTTCCTTAAGTGGAAAGATGATTGAAAGGCTAAAAGTGATAGAGTTTTCAAGCTATAACTGGCAAAGAGAAAAGTCAAGTGAAAAAAAGTTGTTTTTATCAAAAGGCAGGCAGAGTCAAGGATGTCAATCTTAATGTATCAACGTTGTGCTAGACATTAGAATACTCAAGCTAAAGGAACATACTTGCATTGGAGATGTCTCTTCTGTGAAAAGTTGATCTTAATAGTTTTGTTTACTTCATCAAAGGTCAAGTTTAACATGGGTTAACCAAGTAGTGGTTAAAACTCAGGGAAGGTGATAATTGCCTTATTCATCATACCTTTCTTAGAACTTCAACTAAGATGATTGGTATTTTGGCAATGATTGTTCCATACACTTGGCTGCAGTAAAAGTGTTTCTAGTGGTTTGTTTAGTCTCATTCTATCAATTATTCCTTTTGTTGTTGATGCTAAACGGACTGATGAGTATTGTGTTAAACATAAGTCAAGTGTATGATCAAGGTCTGAAGGTATATGTCATAAAGGAAGAATTTTTTGTCTCTACTGAGTGTATAAAGTTCTTATGAGGATTTAAAATTAATTTCTATTTATGGACTACACATGTATTTGATTTCTTATCTTTTTGCTTGATGTTTAAGGAAGATGAAGTCAAGATATCACACTAGAAGGTGCAACATCAGACAATTGCAAAAGCTCTAGAACTTGTTATATAGATCTTTTTATTCCAATGCAAGGTGAGTGTCCTGGAGGATAGAGACATATATGTATGTTTTTCTTTTGTGTTATATAGCAAAGAAAAATCTATTATTTGTGAAGTCTCCAAAGGTTCTTATCTGATCCTTGAATGAGAACAAGGTATATTTATGAGTCTCTCTACTGAGAGAGGTACTTTTAGTAATGATAACTTCAGGATCAAAATCAGTTATATGTTTATTGAGAAAGGTACTAATGTTTAACCAGATGTTGGAACGTCATAGAAGCAGTTTGATACTCCAAACATTGTGGAAGACTCTGAGAGGCTGACAGACACTGAATAAGAAAGCTCTCAAGAAAACAAAATTTTGTTTAAAAATGGAGTTCATTATTTGGAGTTTATTTTAGTCTAAAATCATCAGTTGTTTCAGAGATGAAATATATAATGATAATGAGTCTTGGAG